TTTTTATATAATTTATATTATGATAAGTTTTTTTTTTTGAATTTCTTATGTCATGAATCATGAATGGCACATGAAACTTTATGATATAGCCAAGTTGGTATAGTGGACTGGCAATTGATGATAAAATTGTACATATAGTCCAAAATTTATGGTTGAAATAAATAGGACCACTATTTAGGTCAATGCTTGATAATAACCAAATGTACATAGAATATGCATGCATTCCTTTTCCTTTCAATTTAATTTCCTTCATTGTACATGAATCACATGACATGCATGACTCCTCTTTGCTTGTTGAGAAATCACAAGAAAAGTCACTTTAATTTAAATATGAAAATGATGAGAAATAAAAAAAAAGGCCCTTTTTAATAAATAAATGAGAAAAGTTATGCTGATTAATTTATTCATAAATTTTTCTTGAAATTTTATGCATCTACAATGATAATTGTTATAATAATATTTTTGAATATTACTATAAAATATTTACCTCTTTTGTTTCAAAAATATTTTTTTTTTCTCTGAATTTAATTTGTATGAATAAGTGATTAATTAGAATTGCGGTGTATTAAAAATTAATGCATTTTGTTAATTTGAATAAGAGGCATTATCATACAAGAAATTTTGATTAATTTATCTTATATTTTGACATGTTTTTATTTTATTTTATTTTAAATAAATTATGGGGTTGAAATATTCATTAATTTAATATGTTAGCATTAAATATATTTTAATAGGCAGTAAAATGAAATATTTATGCTTAAAATATAAAAAAAAAAATTCTTGGCCGTTGACTTATATAAAAAGTATATATATCACATGAAGAGTATAAGCCTCATTAAAATAATATTTTAGCATAAATGGATGCTTCTCATAGTCATACACAATAGAGATTTTTTTTAATGATTTTAATGATTTAGAACTTTTTTTAGGGTGGACAAAATTTTAATTAATTAGACGACAACAAAAATAATAAGAAAAATAAAATAATAAAATAATAATATCAAATAGAAATAATAAGAAAAAAAAAAAACTAACATAATGCTATCAAATTTATAAGAGAAAATTTTTATCATTTATCTTTCAATTACATATTGGGATTGTCGAATGAGATTGGGAAGAAGAAGAATGTAAGGTCGCAACGTCTTGAACGTCAAATGCTCGAATCGCGAAAGCGGATGTGAAGTGCAAACTTGCATGATGGACAATGCGGCTTAGTATGATAATAATATGGAAAAAAATATTCTTTTGAGGTGGGGAGGGCAAAATATCTAAAATGCCCCCACTACTGTATTATTTATTTTTTTGAGGGTGAGCATTTGCCCACGCAGACATTAAGAAGGATCCGCCCATGATTTAAAAGTACTAATCATTATATATATCATTAAAAAGTTGAGCATTAAAATAGATCATAATATATGTGAGAAATATTAATCAGTTAATTAGATTTGTGGATATTATTTTTATTTGCATAAAAATTTATTAAATTGCATGGTTAATGTATGATTGGCACATACTATTTCTTATCTCATACATAATTAAATACCTACAATGATTGATTAAGTGTATCATAATGAGTTAGTGAGTTCCTTTTGGGTTTGACTTGAAATTGACCTGACCTGAATCGCTTTAACTCAAATCCAACCCTTTAATAAATGGCGTCAAAAAAGTGGACTTGAAACTGATCCACTAGCAATCTAAATGACTCAAACTCAACTTAAAATTTGTTATAACTTAAATTTATGTTAATTGTTAAAAGATAATAACATGCCAACAAGAAAAATAATTGAAGGAAAAAAATAAATAGGTCGTTTTCAAGATAAAATCGAATTCACAGGTGGACCTAAGCTTAAACAATTTAATCAACGAGTCGTCTGAACTCTCAGTGTGCACACCGTATAAAAACAATGTGTACAAGAAATTGAATCACAGTTACATTTTTTAGGGGTGTCAATTTTTGACACAACCTGAAAACCCAACCCGAAAATTTCGGGTTCGGGTCAACCTGTTTGTGAAACGGGTCGGGTTCGGGTTGATCTGACAACCCGCGGGTCAACCCGTTTAACCCGGATCTCGCACAACCTAACTCAATTTTGCACTGGTCTCGCCCAGACGCCGCTGGCCTCGTCTAGCTTGGATGCCGCTGGCCTCGTCGAGCCTGGATGTCGCTATTCTCACCTAGCCCGGCCCTACCTCGCACTCGACGCTCTAGCCTCACCCGGGTGCGCAAGATCGCGTGATTCACGCACGCCGCAGGAATCAAGCCTCACGAGTCGTAGGCCCGCACGTCGCTGGCCTCACGAGTCGCGGCCCTCGCCTGCACTTTGCAATCAGTCAGTTGTTCTCGCCCAGTCGTCTCTGTCCCAGCTTCGGATTGGCATTTTGCAAACGGGTCGCGGATCGGGTCGGGTCAACCCGGCAACCCGCACGGGTTGGGTCCGTGTTAGAAATTCCGACCCGTCTGTAAAATTGGGTCGGGTTTGGGTTGACCTGTTTGGACCCGGGTCAAATCGGGTTCGACCGTAACTCGACCCGTCGACCCGTTTTGACACCCCTACATATTTGTACATAGTGTGCTCATTCAGATGTCCCAACGGTTCTTCCCGTCAAGACTCCGCACAAAATACTTTCTCCATTTATTAACACATTTATAATTTATTGGATTTATCTAAAATGTATTTTATTCTTTATTATGATTGTACATAACTGTAGTGATTTATCAGTTATCACTGTCTTTTTTATTGGAAAAAGTGAGTAAAAGCCCAAAAGAGATCGTTAGAGTAATAATCACTGTACGGGTAAGATAATAGAGAACATAGTAGAGAAGCCACTGAGCTCTGCTCCCAATTTTCTGATCTGAACTTTCCGACCGTTAAGAACCGCCAATCCTAACGGCACACAAGCCTTGTTTAAAGGAGAGGATTCCTCTAACGGTCAAATGTGAAGCTTTTTTTATCACGGAATGGTGAATTGAGCGTCTTTATTGACAGAAACTTGCACCACTGCGGGCCCACAAATATCGGTACGCGCTTCTTATAAATTGCGTTTTACAAAGTTATTTATGACCGTGATTCGTATACCGCGAATTGAGCGGCGATGGATCCTACACGCTCTTCAAAAAGTTTGCATGTGTTTGTGATTTTATGAAAATTTAAAATATTTACCAATTATTACATCAGTTTGCTTGGGATTATTTTATTAATTTTTTATCTTAAAAATATTTTTATTTAATGAAATTTAAATATTTATACTTTATTTATTAAAATAAATCGAGTTTATTTTAAAATTACTCAAAATAATTTTAAATGTTTTAAGTATTTTTAAAAGTAAGTATTGTTGTTGGAGCCGCTGTCACCACAATAGCTGGCTGTCATCACCGATCACCATTGCAATCACACAACATAAATCTTGATATTGATATCAGGAGTTAGAGTTGGTTTTAATAGTGTGCATCAATCTTATAAGTGATAATATGCATTGACATTATTCATGATAATTGGTGACGATTCAGTGAGCATCCGTGTAATTAGATGACAACGGTCAAAGGACTATAGGTTGGAGAGCCATAGTAGAGTGTTAGCGGTAGGATGACAATAGTTGGGTGACCAATGTCAAATGATCGTAATTTGACAATCGATGTTAGATGATTGTAGTATGGTTATCGAGATTAGATGATCATAGTTAGACAACAACTGTAGAGTTAGAAGAATGTAGTTGGTCGATCGAGGTTAAATGACTATATTTGGACAATGTTGGTAGGATAATTGTAGTTAGGCGAAGGTAGTCAGAAGATTAATTATAGATAAATGATGTTGATCGAAGGATTGTAGTTGGAAAATAAGAGCTGAAGGATTGTAGTTAAATATTGATGGTCCAAAAGGCCTCATTTCGACGATGGTGCTCGAAGAACCTTTGCTAGACGATGACTATCAGAGGATTGCAGTCTGGGGATAAAGTTAAATGACTGTAATTATGATACTATGGTACGAGGACTATAATCAGGTGATAATGATCATGGTCGGATGTTGATCGAGGGTTGTAGTTGAACAATGATGGTCAGAATATTATAGTTAGGTCAAGATGATCATAGGATCATGGTCGGATGGTGGCAGTTTAATAGTAGTCCAACAACATTAGTTTAGCTTTGGTTTGACGATTATAGTTGGATGACGATGGTTTAGTGGTGCTCCAATAATGACTGTCGGATGGTGGTTTTACAACATAAAACAATGGTGATCGGATGATACTGTATTTGAGTGGAGCTTTGAGACTCTTAAAACTAAAAGATGAGAGGTGTCAAACTAGAATAGATCTCACAACAAAAGAACTAAAAAATTGTGTTAAAATAATGAAAAGTATGGCTGTATTTGAAGGAGCTACTTCCATATTCCAATCAAAATACAGCTCAACCAAAATACATGCTAAATATGCTTTTAAGAGTATTAAGGTCCACAATTCAATTTCACTGATATTTGATCAAATAAAAATCCAACAAAATATGAGTTCAATTAAATGATAAAAAGTCTAATTATCCTTAAATTTATGATGAAATATAATTTAATATCACACCAAAATATGCTTTTAGAAGCTCATTATTTCATATATACAAAATATATAATTATAATTTTTATATTTAACACGATTAAATAAGTAAAAATTTAATACAAGTAAAAAATAATTGCTTTTATAGATTTTAATCTTTAGATGAAAATATGAAAGTATTAATTTTAAAAAATAGTTGAAATTTAGATAATATTTATGCAATTGCCCCAAAAGAAATAAGATATGCTTAACAGTGTTATGGTTAATTGTTTAAGAGAAAATTACATATATAACACTTAAATTTTGATTATGAAATTCGATATTTGCATGTTAATTTTAAAAATAAGTATGAAGGATGGTAAATTTATAAATAGTTAGAGTCTATGTGTTATATGTGTAATTATCCATTAATTATTTAAAGGTTAATTTTTGTAGTATGGCAAAACTAATTATTTATTTCCTCTCCTCGGCCATATGATCCAATAGCAGATCTCTTCTTCCAGTTCTTTCTCTACCGACTTTCACTCCGATGGCGACGGGATCGTGGCAAATGACGTAAGCTAATGACTGAGCTGCCGGCCGGAGGCCGTACTCCGGTGGAAACTCCGAATGCTCTTTCCTCGGCGCGCTCCAGAATCTCGCCGGACAGGAATTCACTACGCCGCCGCAGGCGGCGGATCCGGAGTGCCGCATTTACCGGTGGTGAAGGCAATAGACGAAGAACCCCAACCACTCCACTTCTACAATGGAAGTTCAACGAAACAGTCGATCTTTCCGGCGAGAATGTCCTGAAAGACAGAGAGGCGGTGGGCGAGGCGCGGCCGGCCTTTTCAGCGAGGAGGCTCGCAGCTGGGATTTGGCAACTTCGGCTGCCGGAAGGTGGTGGTGGACGGAGAATGAATCAGGGTTTGGAGGTTTGTAAAATGTTTCGATTTAGGGTTTCTAATTAGTTGGTTTGTGGATTTTGGAACCCGATTGGCGTTCCGAGTTGAATTTGCCGAGTTTTTTTTTTCTGATAATGAATTTTGTTTGCATTGAAATTGTAAACTAATGATTTGCTAAAAGTTGAATTTTTCTAGCTTTCTTAACTTAATGATTTTTATTTAGGGGGCAAGATAAATTCAGCATAACTTTTTTTTTAGGCACTTTAAAACGATATTTGAACTAAAAGTAGGATTTAGTAGCCTAAATCTTGGATTTACAAACTTCTGCTTTACGCCCATATTCAACTGATTTGAACCACATTCAGCTTAGAATTCACCGTGCTCTAAGTCACCTAAAACCTTGAGTTGCCTAGGATTGGATCTCGCCAATTTAACCAACAATTAGTCTTACTAGGCCCTTAATATTGAGCTATTGAACTTGTCCTAGGGACTCAGGTAGTCATTTATTCACCAAGACTACTCTCTTTTGATCTTGACTACTCGTTGGTTGACTAGCTGTTCTAGCTAGAAGAACTACCCAATGGTACTCTCTTTCAATCTTAAATTCATCCAATTTATTGACTAGGACTCTCTTGCCACAAAACTAGGTATGCTGAGTCCAAATTGTCTATTTTCTATGTAATTGTATCATATATCCGATTCTCTAATAATCTTGGCCATTAACTAAAAATATGATGACACAGATAAAAAAAAAAGATTTCACAGATCAAGCATTGAGATGATGAGATCTTGTGCTTTCAGCCAAATTTGTCTCACTAGTCTCTCTCAGATTTTATCCTAGATTCTCTTAAGAATCAACTTCTTTCTATTTGAATCATCTTTATAATTCGGTTTAACTCACCCTTCTCTATCTGAAGAGGTTTAACCATATCTTATGTAGATCAATTCAATTAAGGAGAATCATTGAGACCCACTATTTTTTCTATTCCCTTTTACTTATCGGGCTAAATATATATCACCAGTATGATTTTGATATTTTTTCATGGACAACATTGGATGCAACATCATATTAAGTACGAAGAGTGTCAAAATGTTGAAGACAATGAACTATTGAATGCCTTGATAATTGTGAAAGGTCCTTGCACAACAAGTATCCTAATGTCATGTCACCTAGTAGAAATTGTAGACTGTGGATGATTGTCTCACAATAATGATCCATGAGATTTTGAATGTTTTTCTGATGTTGCCCTCTTATTCATTCTCCTCAAGAGTGGGAATAAATTATCTCTCTAAGTTGTTGATGCCGTCACAGCCCAAGAGCTGCTACTCTAACTCATTTTTGACAAGGAGCCTTGTCTCCCAAAGGAAAGTACGATAGTGAAATAGATATATCGTTGACCAACAAAGCATCAGCTAAACCAATGAATTATTTTTTCATTAGAGATTACGAAGGCTTGGCCATTACAAAAGTTTAAGATGCTTGTATTGGATTCCTATCATTTGCGATGCAGTTAAGTTCATCTCTTCATTACCTTGAAGGAGGTGTCATTGCAGTGATATTTTCTCATTCTCTTAAGAAGCTTACCTCCTTTGTTGACTTCAAGTGAATTCATCATGCACTTCGTTGGTGCTCAGTGGCCGTAGAAGAATTTTCATGCTATGCTAAACATGAGATGAGAACTTAGACAAGTCACTCAGTCACTTCATGACTCACTTCCAATGAAAGTATATGATGTTCAAGGCTTAGAGGACGTTGTTGCTCAGGTAACAATTACTTTGGACCCTCTGCAAGGTTCGACTGATAATGACATTGGTCAAGTTGCTGGATTTAACCAACAATCATATCAATATGAAGGAGTACAACAACATGACTGCAACTTTGATCTCCAAGCTATGTCATTCAAGACCATGAGTGACTTTCGACAACATCCTTTGGATCAATGGAGTAAGTCACAAAACAATCGTGACTAGTCGGCTAAGGAACCATACCATCATCATCACTAGTAACAACAATGAGCTTTTTGCCCACACATGTGACAAAGGGGCTTATTAACGTGTGAGAATATGTAAAAGGGTAAGATCGTTACTTTAATTGAGGTATCCAACCTACACATCTCTCTGAGTGTCATTGGTGGAGATCGTGGATGCCATATATGACAACAAATATTTTTATGAACCTTTTTGATTCAACAAAGTCTAAAATTATAAGGACCACAATCACAATACAAAGGATTGCCATCATATTTGTTGCTTGCTTGATGAGGTCATTCCTGTAAATAAATTTAAAGAATTCATCCATACTGTGTTGACAATTCTTCAATCAAAGAAAAATAAGAATGAGCCAATCCCAACATACACATAGCAAGGTTTGTTCTAGCAATTCTCAGGCTAGCTGGGCTGGAATGTCTAGACAGGAAAGACTTCATTTACTTCAGTTAGATTAGGTGCAAGCCTTCATTATCTTTTGGATAGGTTCCAATAACCTTTACTGATGCTGAATGACTAACAACCTAAAATACCCACCATAATGCCATTGTCATTACGACGTTGATTGCTAATTAGTAGATTGACAGAACTTATGTTAATCTCATTTTAAAAGTATTTTTATCTGATACATTTAGATCCATTAAGGCTGGCACTTGATGCTGGGCCTCTATATGCTTTTTTTGATGAGTGAAGGGACTCGAATGACCAAATCATGCTATCAAAGTATGGTTGCAATGAACAATACAATTTTATGTCCGACTTCATGATAGTCGGTGTGTTAATGACTAACAACACCATATTTGGTCATCTACTTATGAACACCTTTAATGCGATTGTATCGATATATCATTTGGTTGTTAAATCCCTGAAAGAGGTTGAAATCTCAATGTTTTGGGAGATTTATTACATTCTCGAGCATGCTACCTTAAGAAGGTTAGATCCTTCTTCAGATTGCTATAGTTCGGTGTCTAGATTGGGCATGCTGAGAAATACAATTAATCTTCGGTACTTTCTCCCATAGAAAATCAAGATCCACCATAATTAAAGTGAACCTCGATCAGTTTTGTTATTTTGCTGAGGAAAATTTATAAAACTTTATCTTAATTTGTCTTCCAAACTCCATGTCAGTTGTCTTTTCTAGAAACTCTAAAAGAATGGAAGGAAATAAGCCTCACAATAAGCTTATAAGTGACTTTCGAAGCTCACAACCTTATGCAAATAGGCTCAGCCAACATCGTGGTGATTTGGCGTTTTTTTTGGTGGGGGGATGTGTAGATATATAATTAATCATATGGACTTCCTCCCATAGAAAATCATTATCCACCATAATTAAAGTAAACATTAATCAGTTTTATGTTTTTTTCCGAGGAAAATTTATAAGATATGTGCTAGGAAGTACTTGAAGATTTCAAGTAAAACCTAATACTATTGGTAAAAACAAAAAAAACAGTCCACAACTCCAATGAAAAACAACAAAATCAATAATTTTATTTCAAGAAATCAAATAGAACGGAAATAAAATACCAAGATACAATTGATCCTTTATTTGAGAGGAGGATCTGTCTCTCCTAAATCTCTAGATGCCGCTAGAGCCCAAAAACCTAAACCTAAGAGATCTCAATTTCAATCAAATTCAAGATGTCCTAACCCTAGGAAAATCACCTATTTAAAGCAAACAATAAACAATAAATACCTAAACAGACCTCCCCCAATTCTCCCCTATTTCCTTGATTATTTCCTCCCAAATCAGCTCTCAATCAGCCCCTAAATTTGACATCTTCAATTAGGAAACATTTCTTGATTAGTCCCCTCCAAATCAGCCACCAAATAAGCCCACAAATTTGAAAATATTTCCTAATTAATCTCCTCCAAATTAGCCCTATTCAATTAGGAAACGTTTCCTAATTAATCCCCTCAAAATCAGCCCCAAATTAGCCCCCAAATTTTCAATTAGGGAACTTTTCCTAATTAATTTCCTTTGATTAAGAACCTTCCTAAACAGCTCCATCTTGATTAGGAAACTTCTTAATTCCCTCACAGTCACATCAACTGGTCCATCAATACTCCCCTCCCAAAGTGTCACCTTGTCCTGAAGGTGGAACGAATGAAACTGTTGTTGAAGCACTTGACTAATACCACTGGACTGAAAAATGAACTGACACTAAGTTGAACTATCCCTACCTCGAGCATATCCTTGATTAATCTCTCAATCTCTTAGTTCTAGATTTGGGGCTGACGGTATAGACAAACATTGATAGGTGGGTCTCCTTCCTTCAAGATGATAACATACTCGAGTTCCCGCGAAGGATTCAACCCTTGAACTTGTTGGAACACCCCTCGATACTATTGTAGGGGTGGTAGAATCATATATGGTGCTTTTATCTTCTCTCTATATTCTTCTCCTTCCAAACTTTTGAGCTCCACCAAAATGTCCACTCCTCTCTTTCCCCTCTTTGGATGTGGCTCCAAAGATAACATCTCCTCTTCTTCCCCCAAAACTTTTACCTTCCAATCCTTCCTCATCATCCCTATATTAGGGTTTACCCTACTTCCTTGGTTGTCTACGCCTTCACTCACCTCCGACAATGATATTTTGGTTTGACCCTTTAGCACTTTCTTCAATATCTCCTCCAGGATGAAAAATTTCGAATTGATCTTATCATGGATGATTGAAATATCCTTTTTTAAATATGAGACTTGAGTTTGGAGATTTGAAATTTCAAATTTCATTCGTCCAATCTCCCCTTCCAATACTTCTACTTTTCTTCCAGTCATGGAAACCTAGATTTAAGCTTCGATAGCTAAGAGCAAGAAGTTTGATGTGAATCTGGCCTCCAAACCGCAAAAGCAACAAGATCATAGAGAAAAACACAGCATAAATCAGCGAGGAAGACTTCTATTTTAGCCTAAAAAGTTGTTATGATACCAATTTATTAGGAAGTACTTGAAGATTTCAAGTAAGACCTAACACTATTGGTAAAAACAACAAAACAGTCCACAACTCCAATGGAAAAAAAATAAAAACAGTAATTTTATTGCAAGAA